GCTAGTGCCGGTGTTTGGAGTCCTCGCCCCTTGGGGCATTTCTTATTATGTGCAGATAAAAAGGCAACTCAGGTGCTGCTGCTGCTGCTGCAGTTGCTGCTGCAGTTGCTGCTGCTGCAATCTTCGGCTGGGGGGCCCTGCTCCCGAGGCGCATGCAGCAGGCCAGTGACCCTTCTGCTGCTTTGCTGCTTTGTTTCTCTCTTAAAAGTCTAATTGACAAATTAAATACATTTATAAGTGCAAAGAGTTCTGTTCCGACGCTAGTTGCAGTGTTAAACAAGCCGAAGCAGCAGCAGCAGCAACAGCAGCAGCTGCAGCAGCTCAACGCCCGCAGCAGCAGCAAGACACTGTCGATAGGAGCAGTCCCGCTCGCGTGTTTTCCACCTCTGACTTCGCCGTCTTATAATAAATGTTAATTTTGATTTGAAAAATAAATTATATTAAAGTTTTTAAAAATTAATTCAACAAAAAGTTGCGCGGAAAGGCTGGTGAGTGCCGTTCCGGCGCTCGCTGCTGCAGCAGCAGCAGGCGCGCAGCCCAGGGAAAGCAAACGAATAAAACTGAACTAAAAAAGAAAACTTTTTAAAAAAAGAAAAATGAAAATAATGGTGAAGACAAAAATGAAGCAGATGATAAGGAAGTGAGACAGTAGGCAGAGGAGGTCTTGCTGCACGCAGCAGCACGCAGCACACAGCAGCACGCAGCAGCAGGCAGTAGCACGCAGCAGCACGCAGCAGCACGCAGCAGCACGCACCAGCAGGCGGCAGCAGGCAGCAGCACGCCTAAATCCTAAACCTAAACCCTAAACCCCAAACCCTAAACCCTACAATTTGGGCCCGAAGACTTGCTGCAGAAGCTACACAGTAGTGGCTTTTTTTGGCTCTCCGAGAGTGTGGGGGCATCAGTTCTGTGGGGCTGGAAAAGCTGGAGACCACTGGTCACCACTAGAGCAGCAGCAACAGCAGCAGCAGCAGCAGCAGCAGCAGCGGCAACAGCAGCGGCAGCAGCAAAGAGAGATGCGCCAAGGCAGGCTTTTCTGGGAGAAGCTTGGCACTATAATTTTGCATGCAAATTCTTTTCTTCTGATTTCCCATTGCCCGCAAACTGTCTACCTGCTTCTAAACCCTAACACTCAGGGTTTAGGGTGTAGGGTTTAGGGTTTAGCGATTAGGCTTAAGGGTTTATGGTTTAGGGTTTAGGGTTTAGGGACTCAGTGGCCCCACGGGCACCTGAACCTCGAATTCTAAACAGCAACCGAATATGAAAAAGCCCACATTGGGTGTTTTTTAAGGCATTTATTCATCTATTTATTTATTTATTTATTTATTGTTACTTACTTATTCATTCATTTTAATTGATTTGTTTATTAGAGACGTTTGCTGCTGCTGGCAGCTGTTTTGAGGGTTTTCTTTTCAGTTAAATGCTGCTTAGTCTTGCTGCACTTGAAAGGCCCAGCAGCAAACCCTTTTGGCTCTTTAAATCTTTTCTTTGAGCCCAAAAAAAGTGCTGCTGCTGCTGCTGCTTGGCTGTTTGTGCTGTTTTGTTTTTGCTTCTGAGTGGCTTTTGTATGGAAGAGGCCCTGGCATCCGAAGGAGCCATTCAAAAGAAATAAAAGAATAAAATAAAATTCGAAAAAGATTGGAATGGCAGAATAAAGTATTTAAGTTTATTTAAACTTTTTATTATTTGCCAGATTTGGCATTAAACCCTTTTTTTAGTGCAGCTTCTGCAGCAGCTAAGGGTTTTCAAGAAGACACTTGAATGAAAGCTCATTCAAAAACCACTAAACTCTCCACCATTTCGACTGCTTTTAAATCTTTTTTAAATATTTTTAAAAGTATTTAATAACAGCTTAAATGGCGGGAAGTTTAGTGGCAGTTTTATTGGCAAAAAAGCCCAAGAGGCCCCAGAAATGGCCCGGGGTTCCTTTGGGGGCCTCAGAAGCCCGCGGTGGAAAAAACCTGCAAATCAAAAGCTGCAAAGGAAGCAAAAGCTACTTTGTGTCTAAATTTTAATTTTAATTCTTTTCGTGTTTTATTTTGGTGGTTGAACTGCTTTATTAACCCAAGAATTGCCCGTTTACGAGGCCATGAGTGAACTCTGCGACTAGCAGCTGCTCAGTGTCTTCTGCTGGCGGTGGCGGTGGAGGCTCCCTGCAGGCTCTTATTTGAGGGAAATTATTTTTGATTAAAATCAAAAAAGTAAAATAATTATTTTAATTATTTAAACTGAAGAAAACGGGGAATTTCCAGTGTATCTACACCCGGGCACGGGCAGGCCGCTCAAGTGACCCGGGGCGGCGGCGGCGGCGGGCGACGGCCGCTGGGTTCTTTTCTTTCTTTTTTATCTTTTTATGATCCCCGAAGATAATTTAATAAAATATTTTTGTTTTGGCAGTTGAGTTCGAATAAATGAAGCGACAAAGCCGCAGCGCAAGTCCATGACACCACTGGTCTTCACTGGTCTTCAGCAGTGGACCCTGCGGGCGCAGCCGCCCTTTCTTGACAACTTCGCCAACTCTTCCATTTCGCTTGCATGCAATTTATGTTTTTATTTATTTTTGTGTATTTTTCCAACATTTGGCAAAGCCTGGCCCTCTGCAGGCAGGCAAAACCCCAAACCCTAAACCCCAGCCCCTCCCTCTAAACCCTAAACCCTAGGCCACAGTCTTGTCTACGAGAGCAGCACAAGAACTGGAAAGCGCTTGACGCAGCAACAGCAGCAGCGGCAGCAGCAGCAGCAGCGGCAGCAGCAGCAGCAGCAACATGGGAGGCTGCCACGGCAAAACCTGCCTAGAAGCTGGGGGGGCCGCGAGCCTTCCCAACGATCCCGGCAGCAGCAGCGAAGCAGCGACAAGCAGCAGCAGCAGCAGCAGCAGCAGCAGGCCCTCCGGCACGACGCTTGTCCTTCCGTTCTCCATATGCAACGGCTGCAGCGGTAGAGCAAGCAGCAGCAGCAGCAGCAGCAGCAGCAACGAGCCCGTCAGCGGCTGTGTTGTCAATAGCAGCACGACGCAAGAGAGCAGCGAGGGAGCAGCAGCAGCAGAAGTGGTCGCTGCAGCAGCAGCAGCAGCAGGCCAGAGCAGCAGGCCTTCAGAAGCAGCAGCAGAAGCGGCAGCAGCTGCGGCTGCTGTAGGCTGCATGCGCCACGCAACCCCTGCTGCTGCGGCCGCCGCAGCCGCAGCAGCAGCAGCAGCAGCAGAAGCAGCAGCTGCTGCTGCTGGCTCTCCAAATGAAGCCTTGTGGCCCATCTTTGAGCTGCGGATGCATGCAAATTCTGATGATTATTTTTCTCCTTTTGCTGCTGCTCTCCCGCTGCTGCAAATCGAAGACAAAACCCTCAAAAGGCAACTCAGGGAAAGAGCCACGAACTACGTAAACCCTAAACCCTAGACCCTAAACCCTAGACCCTAGAAGCCCGCTTGTCACCGCTTTCTAAACCCTACTTTCTAAAGCCTTATTAGTAGACCCTAGCTCCTAAACCCTAATTTCTTAATCCTACTTTCTAAAGCCTTATTAGTGAACCCTAAATCCTAAACCCTAAACCCTCAACCCCAGTTCCTAAACCCTAAACCCCAGTTTCTAAACCCTTATTCGTAAACCCTGCCTCCTAAATCCTAATTCTCAGCTACTTCTTCTTAAACCCTAATTCCTAAACCCTAACCCTTAACCCTAATTCCTAAACCCTAACCATAAACCCTAATTCCTAAACCCTACATGACTGTCTCAAAAAGAGGGCCATGAACCTCGCGTCCACAAACCCTAGGCGGGTTTGCGTTTAGCTACCACTGCTTTTGCTGCTGCTGCTGCTACTGCTGCTGCTGCTGCTGCTGCTGCTGCAGGTGCTGGCAGCAATGGAGAACTGCATGCATGACCGCCATGTCTTCCGCATTAGCTATTCTCCCAAGTACACAGACGACGCGTTTGAGTACAGGCAAGCCCCAAACCCTAAACCCTAAACCCTAAACCCTAAACCCTAAACCCTAGGCCCTAAACCTTTTATGCGAAGCCATGTGCCCTGAGTCCTAGGGTTTAGGGTTTAGGGCTTAGAGCTTAGTGTTTGGAGTGCAGGCTTTGAGGTTAAAGCGGTATAAGTGTACAGCAGCAGCGCCATTTCTTTTTGCTGCTGCTGCTGCTGCTGCTGCTGCTCTCGGGGCTGAAAAGCAGATCCTTGGGTTTAGGATTGCAGCCAGCAGTGCTTGGGTCGGATACTGCTGCTTTGGGGTTTAGGGTTTAGGGTTTAGGGTTTAGGGTTTGCGTTTGTTGGCTTTGCAGGGTTGTTTCTTTGCCTTTAGACCATCCCTTTCTGCAGCTGCCGCAGCCAATTGTCCTCAACTTTGCTGCTTCCCCTGCTGCTGCTCACTTTGTAGTTGCTGCTGCTGCTGTTGCAGGCAGCAAGCTCGGGCTGCTGCAGAGCGCGTTCCCTTCGTCCGCTGCTGCAGCACGTGATGCCGGCGGCCCCAGTGCTGCTGCTGCTGCTGCTGCTGCTGCTGCGCCCCCTGCTGCTGCCAGCGAGCCGTCTCGAAGGCATGCTGGCCCTGGCGGGGCTTCAAGCAGCGCTGCTGTGGCAGCAGAATCGCAGGCCCCACCTGCTGCTGCTGCTGCTGCTGCTGAGCGCGCTGCAGCGGCGACGACAGCAGCAGCAGCAGCAGCAGTAGCTGACGAGATTGCCTGTGGGGCGCCAGAGAGTGTGCTCCGTTCCGCAGCAGTTAGTGCAGCAGAAAGTGCTGCTGCTGCTGTTGCTCAGGCAGAAGCAGCAGCAGAAGAGGCCCCTGCTGCTGCTGCTGCAGTTGCAATGGTCTTCGAGAGATCGCTGCAGCTGCCAGAAGCAGCTTGGCGCAGTCTAGGGGTGAGTCTAGCTAGCTAGCCACATGGCTAGCTAGCCACACGGCTAGCTAGCCAGGAAGCTAGCTAGCCAGACGGTTGGCTTGCCACATAGCTAGCTAGCCACATAGTTAGCTAGTCACGCAGCTAGCTAGCCACACAAATAGCTAGCCACTCAGCTAGCTAGCCAGGTGGCCAGCTAGCCAGGAAGCCTGCGGGCTACACATATAGCTAGCCGCGTGGCTAGCTAGTCGCACAGCTAGCCAGGGAGGTAGCTAGCTGGTCAAGCAGTTGGCTAGCTACGCAGCCAGCTAGCGAGTTAGCTAGCTAGCCAGCTAGCTAGCTGGCCAGCTAGCTAGCTAGCCACGCAAGATGAGCTGCCGAATAAGCCAGAAAGTTGCTAGCCAGGCAGCTAGCGAGGTGGCTAGCTAGCTTGCCACTCCTTGGCAGCTACTTCGAGTCTTGTGGCACTTGCTGCTGCTGGGCCGACTCAGTAGGCGCTAGCTAGCTAGCTAGCTAGCTAGCTAGCTAGCTAGCTAGCTAGCTAGCTATTTGGCCAGCCGATGGTTTGTTTATTTAGCATTTATTTAATTTTTTAATTTATCTAGCTAGCTGGATAGCTAGCCAGCTAGATAAGTAATA